ATAATGATGTGAATAAGAGTGGAGGGTGAGTGTGAGTTGTATGATGCCATTTTTGGGAGAGATTTATGTTTCTACTATAATTACTTATCCACAACACGATTGTAATTCAACTAACACTGCACAATGGCGATACATTTCAACTAAACATTATGAGACGCTAGGCGGCCAATTAGGTAAATCTGTAGAAAATGATTCAGCATGTTCGAGTCGTTGTTAAATTTGGGAAGAGCACAATTACAATCGACATGCACGCTCTGTCACACCATTATAAGTTTGACTGATGGCTGCTGAGCTGCGTGCACCTACCGACAAAGAACTCGCCGAGTTTGTTTATGTCAAGACATTAGCTCAAGGTAATAATCACGCAACCTGATATCTAATATATGTTGGCACCTTTCAACGTATCTATAACATAAACATCTCTTGCACAGACGCTCGTGACAAGAGTATCAATGTCCTTGGGAGATTGGCCAAATCTCCTACCGATGAACCTCAGAATGCCATTCTCTTGTTTCAGAGAACACCATTCGATGAAGGTGAAATCCTTGACATATCCACCAGATTTCATACATGGAAACCAATCGAGTTTAATGACATTTATTATCGCTACACTGGCCAAACGTATGACATTGAAAGATATCCCGCTTTTAAAGCGACACTGATTTGGCCTGCGACCGATGCTGTAAGATACACCCTTTCCCCCCAAATTCAGGTTTTCAAAATTGTCATGTTTTTGAATTTACGTTGACAGTCTGTCTATTGTTAGCATATCGCCAAGTATAGCCTTCAGGCTCGACGTCTGTTCAACGAAACCCCAGAGATTTATCAAAGCGTCGTGAAGCCGTATATCGATGCACTCCCTCTATCTAAAATACAATGGGTATACAACATACTGGAGAAGAAAGCAGAGGCTGACACTATTATTCTCGAAGTTGAGGGTGAAGAAAAAGGATTTATTCTTACTCCTGATATGTAAGCGAGAATAAATCGTGTTGATTGCCAAACAATGCCTGTATTATGTTGGTTACTTGAACCGCTTTTTATCAATAGGAAATGGGATGGCATTACCATGGATGCACTGTACCTTACCGTGATTGTGCACAGGAGAGACATCAAATCCTTACGCGATCTGAACGCTTCACATCTTCCACTGCTCAAGGAAATCAGACGCAAAGTACTTGAACTTATTCCTCAAAAATACCCAGCAGTTGGTGCTGATGAAGTCAGGTTATTTGTTCATTATCAACCAACCTACTATCATTTTCACGTACATGTTGTTCACCTGAGGCATGACACTATCCCAGGGGGGATTGTTGTTGGCAGAGCCCATTTGTTGGACGACATTATTGGCAACATTGAAACCTTTGATCCAAATTACTATCAAAAAGCCACTCTTACTTACTTTCTCGGTGAGAACGATGCACTTTTTGGTCGTCTCAGCGAAGCTGGGGCTAGGGTTTCGCCTTGATCAAAGCACTCGATGGGATTCACTAATACTAATCTGGTTACATTTGTGATTTTCGCTTGCCGATTATATTCATGTGGCGAGCGGGGACTTGTTTTTGAGTCAACAGAGTATATCCTATCATAAGGCTTCTTATGCCAGTCTAATTGACTGTACGGGTCGCAGATTGCACAGTCACAAGTTATTAAGGATAGGGAACGTAAATGGGAAATAAACAGCATTCAATTGGATGATCGATATGCATTCTCTGTAATGATTTTGGGTTGAGTTACATTGCAAAATGGACTCCTAGAATTCGAGGTTGTAATCATACAGGATTCATGAGCATGCAGGTGTACAGGGAGTGTGCTATTTCCCAGTATTATATAATATTAATATGCGAATTAATATTGTGAATTGCTGATCATGAATAGAAGACATTGAACAAATCATGTGTTTTGCTATGTTATTATGTCGCACAAGGTAGGATTAGTAATGGCAATAACGATAATACTTAATATTTTCAACATCGACGTTAAATATGCTTGCTGCAACAGCAAGGAGGTCATTCTCCCCCCCTTGTGAAATGGGTTGTATCCCAAGCACTGTGTAATGTTGCCCAACATGTATTGCATTACTTGAACTTTACCTTTGACAACACTTCCTTCTTGTCAATGATACGTTGTCAAATCTACTACAACGTGAGAGAGATGTTTGTTATCGTCAGCTGACTGTTATTGTTACATGGCGCGTGATTATTTATTCTTGTATTTACGATAATTGCATACCAGACATCCACTGACATCTGACGGAGATTACCGTGTACCCATCTCGACCGATCGATTTAACTCTGCACCGAGCTGTCGGATCGAAATGGAGATGATACAAGATGAAGATTGTCGATATAGTGAAACTCTAGATTTTGTCTGTATATATAAGGCAATACCTAGAGATTACATCTTACTGTGTACCAATATAAAGCCGCCGCGATACAGGGTTACATTTCTGACTTGGCAAAAAAAAAAAAGTTTGACAGGACAGCAATGAACCTTTCCATCGATACCCTTAGAGAAGCCAGTCAGGTTATGGGCCATATGCCCAAATTGATGGTTGCGAACAGAGGAGTGAGTCTTTATTTGATTTAATTGGATTAATTAGTTGATTAGAATGTTAGAATCATCATTGCGATTAACTCGCTTGGTTGTCTTTTTTTTTTCCCCCATGGATCATTCAAGTCGATTTTTTTTTGTTTTCTTCACTCAATACAAACCTCCCCCCCAACTTTTTTTTTGTTACTAGGAAATAGCTATTCGCGTCTTTAGAACCGCCCATGAATTGTCCATGCGAACAGTCGCAATATTTTCACATGAGGATCGACTTTCGATGCATCGATACAAGGCTGATGAGGCATATCAAATCGGAGAACCGGGACAGTTTACTCCTGTTGGTGCTTATTTGGCTCAAGATGAAATCATAAGAATAGCAAAATTACGCGGTATTTCAATGATCCATCCTGGGTATGGATTTTTGAGCGAGAATGCTGAATTCGCGAGAAAGGTGGAAGAAGCTGGCATCACTTTTATAGGGCCATCACCAGATGTGATTGAAAAAATGGGTGATAAAACTAAAGCTAGGAAAATAGGTAATGAAAAGTGTAGACAACAACGCATACGCAGTGATGAAAATTCCCCCCTTTTGTCGCTCTTGTCCAGCACGTGCTATTCTTGGCAATCTATTCTCATCACAGATCAACAATCGTTTCGTGCGCACGCTAATGCACAATTCTTTTTTTTGACCAGCGATTGAATGTGGAGTACCGGTTGTACCAGGAACACCAGGACCCATTTCAAGTATTGACGAAGCAAAAGAATTTGTAAACGAACATGGTTTTCCAATCATTATTAAAGCGGCAATGGGTGGTGGAGGACGTGGTATGCGAGTCGTTAGGTCAATCGATGATCTTGCCGATGCGTTTAAACTCGCTCAATCGGAAGCAAAGTCAGCATTTGGGGATGGAACAGTTTTCTTGGAACGGTTTCTCGATAAACCACGACATATCGAAGTGCAACTTTTGGCTGATAAGGAGGGAAACGTGGTTCATTTATTTGAGAGAGATTGTTCCGTGCAGAGAAGGCATCAAAAGGTTGTTGAAGTTGCACCCGCTATGAATCTGCCAGTGAGTATAGAATTTTCTTTTGCTAGTTTTGATGAACTAGGTGGGGGAATGAGATACTGATTATTCTTATTATGTTTGTTAGACCGAAGTCAGGGACCAGATTCTGGCCGATGCCATAAAACTTGCGACTGCGATCAAGTATCGAAATGCAGGGACAGCCGAATTCTTGGTAGATCAACAGAATAGGTATTATTTCATCGAAGTCAATCCTCGTATTCAGGTCGAGCACACTATTACGGGTAAGCTAGCGAGTTGTACATATTCAGACATTTTATATGCACTTGCTTTTTGCATATATCCAGACATTTTATATGCACTTGCTTACTTACTCATCAACAAACACATCTTCTTTTTTAGAGGAAATAACTGGTATCGACATAGTTTCCGCTCAAATTCAGATAGCAGCGGGCGCTCTTTTGACTACGCTTAATCTAGTCCAAGACCGCATCCAAACACGAGGTTACGCCATTCAATGCCGAGTGACAACGGAAAACCCCGCCGACAATTTCAAACCTGCAACTGGAAAAATAGAAGTTTATCGATCCGCCGGTGGTAATGGTGTCAGATTGGATGGCGGAGCAGGATATGCCGGTGCAGTGATTACTCCGCACTACGACTCGCTTCTCGTGAAAGTGACTTGCTGGGGCATGCAATACGAAATAACAACTAGGAAGATAGTGAGAGCTTTGGTAGAGTTTAGAATACGTGGTTTGCAGACCAATATTCCCTTTTTGCAGCGATTGCTGACACACGAGGCGTTCAAATCGGGCAACACGTGGACTACGTTTATTGACGATACGCCAGAATTGTTTAAATTGGTCGAAAGCAAGAATCGGGCACAGAAAGTATTGAAATATTTGGGTGACTTGGTTGTCAATGGAAGTAGTATCAAAGGACAAGTGGTAAGTAAAGTGATCGAAAAAAGAAAGAGAATTGACTTGTGGTAACGTATTTGATATGCATGAAATACGTTGATAATCTATATATATTTTTTTTGTAGGGTGAGCCAGCGTTCAAGCAAAAGATAGAGCTTCCGTCAATACGATCATTGGCGGGTCCAGAACCGGTCGATGTTTATCAGCCTCCTCAATATGGATGGCGACATATACTTGTTACAGATGGTCCAGAAGCATTCGCCAAAGCAGTCAGAGAATACAATGGTGTCTTGGTTATGGATACTACATGGCGTGATGCTCATCAGAGTTTGTTGGCAACCAGAGTCAGAACTGCTGGTACATAAACAAAATTACTAAATCAAATCTCTGGTGAATATCTTACCATTATTAATCGGGGTTTCCGCCTTTTGTAGATCTTTTGAATATTGCTCCGCACACAGCCCATGCTCTTGCCAATGCGTACTCTTTAGAAATGTGGGGTGGTGCTACGTTTGATGTTTCTATGCGATTTTTATATGAAGATCCATGGGACAGACTCGTAAGTAATTAATACAATTTGACAAGTGTATGCACGCGTCAGTTACCATTGACTGATCCACACCCGCAATCGCATTGCTCTTTCGCATTAGGCTAAACTTCGTGCACTAGTTCCAAACATTCCCTTCCAAATGCTTCTTCGAGGCGCAAATGCCGTTGGCTACACATCGTACCCAGACAACGTCGTCTATGAATTTTGCAAAAAAGCCAAAGAAACCGGAATGGATATTTTCCGTATATTCGACTCTCTCAATTACATCGAAAATCTCCGTCTGGGTATAGATGCGGTCAAGAAAGCTGGTGGAGTAGTTGAAGCAGCGATATGTTATTCCGGTGACGTGTCAAATCCGAACAAGACGAAATACAATTTGGATTACTATCTGAAACTTACCGAACAGCTGGTCAATGAGGGCATACACGTGTTGGCTATCAAGGATATGGCTGGATTATTGAAACCTAACGCTGCAACGATTTTGATTGGAGCTATTAGAAAGAAATGGCCAAATTTGCCTATTCATGTGCATACGCACGATACTGCCGGAACCGGTGTCGCAAGCATGTTGGCAGCAGCAGCGGCCGGAGCTGATATCATTGATCTGGCAATTGACAGTAAGTAGTGTTGGAGTGGATTGCTTGGAGTGTAACGAGGTTAAATCAAACATATCCGACTTATCAACCGCCAATCGCATCAATAGGTATGTCGGGCGTAACTTCTCAGCCATCCATGGGAGCAGTAGTCTCGGCATTAGAACATTCCGATTTAGGCACTGGCATTCGCCTAGAGGATGTACATGCCATCAACAGCTACTGGGAACAATGTCGCTTGGTTTACAGCTGCTTCGAGTCGGGAGTTCATGCCGGCGATTCATCTGTTTACGTGCACGAAATGCCGGGCGGGCAATACACAAATCTCATGTTCCAATCGCAACAGTTGGGATTGGGTACGCGATGGAAAGAGATTAAAAAGGCGTATACCGAGGCGAATAAACTGTGTGGAGATATTATTAAAGTCACTCCGAGTTCAAAGGTTGTTGGAGACTTGGCTCAATTTATGGTGTCTAATAAGCTCAGTTATAACGACGTAAGTGTTGGGTGTGTGGGCACGGCAAAAAGCAACGCTGGGTGCTAATTGAATAACACACAACATCCATTAGGTGATCGAGCGGGCACAGACGCTTTCTTTCCCTACATCGGTTGTAGATTTCTTCCAAGGATATCTCGGTCAACCATATGGCGGATTTCCAGAACCTCTTCGTTCTCATGTAAGTCTAGTTTATTAGAGACATCCGCATATGCATTATATATCACTACCGTTCAAAAAATGCTCATAACGCAACATTTCTCCCTCCCTCTGCGCAATTCCGTTACAGATCGTTAAAGACCTCTCGCGTGTCGATGGCCGCCCAGGAGCTACTCTCCCTGCCTTTGATTTCGAAGCCAAGAAACAAGAACTGATCGACAAATATAAACGCAGTATTCGCGACGTTGACGTATGCTCGGCTGCGCTGTACCCCGAGGTATTCAAAGCATACCGCGATTTCGTCGAGACGTATGGTGACGTATCCGTCATTCCCACTCGATATTTCCTAGCCAAGCCTGATATCGGAGAAGAGTTTAGCATAGCCTTGGAAGAGGGTGTGACTTTGATTATAAAGTACTTGGCTACGGGGCCGCTGAATGCGCATACCGGAAAGAGAGAAGTGTTCTTTGAGTTGAATGGAGAGTCTAGAGCAGTCGGCGTTGACGATAAGGGAGCAGGTACGTTCGGGTTTCTGGGTTGTGACAAGGAAATTGATTGGATCAAAAATCGACTGTTGAGAGAAATCCAGTAGAATAGGAATTACAGCCAAAATTTGGATGCTTGTATTGGTTGGATATTCGGTTTTTGCATGTTTACTTACTCTTTATTTATCTATGTATGCAGCCGTCGAAAGCGTTCAAAGGGAGAAGGCTGATCCTGGTAAACCAGGTGATATTGGTGCTCCAATGCCTGGTGTTATAGTCGAAGTGCGAGTCCAACGTAAGCATCGCAATCTGTCATTATATATATATTCCTGTATATACATTGCTACATTTTTCTAATCATTATTTTTTTTTTAATTTAGCCGGAGCCACTATCATGGTAGGCGATCCAATCTGTGTATTATCAGCAATGAAGATGGAGACAATAGTCTCTTCACCGGTCAGCGGAAGGGTTGATTACGTTGCCGTGAAAGAGAGCGATTCGATTAATGCTGGTGATTTGATAATAAAAATAGTCAAAGAATAGTCCGGTGTATCCCTGGAGGATGCCAAAATGGTCGTATTACAAGTCGTAGCTTTTATTTATATTTATATTTATATTCATGGTCAAAGATAGTTGCCGTTGCTATAAGTTAATCGATATATTTAATAATCGTTTTAATTTTTATAATAAAAAAAAAAGTAAATAATTGAATTAAACAGATCAAGTATTCAACGTGATTGACAGATATCCAACCATATGTGATTAGTCAACCTATTACAAAATATCTGTATAAATTCATGTTATTTATAATATACCGTTTCTAATCAACCCTGGTGTTCTTGAGTGGGATAATAATTGTCGACGTGTGGATATAAATTTATTTGGTCTACGCGCGATCACAAGTCAAGTTCGCGCGCAGTAATAATTTTCATTGTGAAATCTATTCATAGTTTAGACTCTGCGGTGGCACGTGAGATAGATATTTGTCTACTACTACTATATATGGTTTATCCTTGCTTCAATAAAATCAGTGTAATAAGGACTCGCTCACAATGGATGTAGATATTCCTCGCAAAAACTTTGAATTTGCTAATAACATTACTGAAGTCGATCCAACACAAGACTGGATATATCGATATGATAGTCAAGAACAGACTCGGGCACGGACGGAGAAGTCATGGACCAAAGAGTATGTTTATTGTCAATAGGAGTTTTTGCGCATGAAAGAATCCAACCTATAATAAATATACTTGGAGCGTTCAAGAACAGTCTCTGGGACCTTTATCTAAATCAATTGAAACAATATTATTTGCAAATATGATGTGGTTTGCTAGAGTTTAACATTTCATGTTAATATAATTGATGTATTCACAATTTTCAATCTTTTGCTTCTAGTCCTCATTATTTTAATAAAGTCAAGATGTCAGCGGTGGCTCTCATAAAAATGGTAAGATCTATCATCTCTTTGCAAACGATAGTTGTATTCAATCCGATTACATATATACACACTTTAGTATTCTGTATTTGATTCTGCGGCGGCTTTGTTATGACGCAGCGCGTCACGCTCGAACCTTTAACGATCTAATTCCTGTTGCCATCTTGCTGATTTGTAATTAAGAAATTTCTCACTAACATGTCCTCTGATGATAGGTTATGCATGCTAGGTCAGGAGGAAATATCGAAGTCATGGGACTAATGCAGGGTAAAATTGATGGCAGCACGATTATAATCATGGATGCGTTCGCGCTGCCCGTTGAAGGGACAGAGACAAGAGTCAACGCGGCAGATGAAGCTAATGAATATATGGTTACATATCAGACTACCATTGAACAGGTTAGATATTCCAGGTGTCTAAATGAATCCTTGTCGGTATTTTTCATGTTGGTTTGCTGACTTTTTTTTTTCCTTTGGATAGGCTGGTAGGCTCGAGAATATTGTTGGGTGGTATCATAGTCATCCTGGTTACGGGTGCTGGTTATCTGGTATCGATGTGACCACGCAGATGTCTAATCAGCAGTACCAAGATCCATGGGTTGCCGTCGTCGTATGTAATGATATTTGGGAATGGCATAGATTGAGATTGGGAGAGATGGACAGTATTTACGTTTTTCATTTTATCATTAACTGACACCCTTGCGCAAACGTCAGATTGATCCTAATCGTACAATAGCAGCCGGAAAAGTAGAAATAGGCGCATTCAGAACATACCCAGAGGTACTTTATAATGTCTTGTAATTGCTTGGATGATAATGTACTCACGGCATTTTGATTTTATTGTTAGGGTTACAAAGCACCGGATGAAGGTCCATCCGAGTATCAGACAATTCCGCTCAGCAAAATTGAAGATTTTGGAGTTCACTGTAAACAGTAAGATTTAAACTCCAACTATTGTTATTCTGATTTACGTTAATGGTCAAATTAATAACGCGCGATTGGTTTTTTTTAATAGATACTATCAATTGGAGATTTCATACTTTAAATCAACGCTCGACACTCACTTGCTTGAGTTGCTATGGAACAAATACTGGGTCAATACTTTATCACAGTCACCACTCATAGCAGTGAGTATTGAAGAAATGGTCAACATGTTTGTATTATTACCCCGCCAACTAATTTAATTGATTTATAGAATCGTGGGTATGCTGCTCGTCAAATCTCAGATTTGGCCGAGAAATTAGAGCAAACAGAATCACAAATTCAACAAAGCGGTCGTATTGCTGGATTTGTAACTGGCGGCCTCGGAAGTGGAAATCGCATAGGCGCATCATCTCCAACGGCATCTTCATCTACATCCAACGTGTCGGCATCGGCCGGACCAAGTGGATCATCCAGTTCGAGTGGTAATGCTGGGGACAAGAAGAAGGTCGAAGAGGGTCCGTTAAGCAAAGTTACCAGGGATAGGTGAGAGCTACAAAATGTGTTTTTTAAAATGATAATGACTTGTGAATTTTAAATAATCCGAATTGTTTCTGGGTTATACAGCAACAAGATTACTATTGAAGCAACACACGGTCTGATCTCGCAGATACTTAAAAACGTTTTATTTAATAAAAAATAGATGGACAGGGTTAACACGCTTCCAATAACATGTCACCGTAAATAGAATTTCCGCTTGGCTAAAGATTCACTTAACGAAATAATTACCATTTAAGGCATACGTATAATGAGAAATAAACTTCATGAAAAAGAACCAAACCCTCCCCCCTTGACTTGTTTAATTCAAAAGCTGTTGCGGTTCACCCGTCTTTGGCGTTTTGTAGCTCTATAAAGCACACATGAATTTTTAATGATAGCAGTGTCCCTTTGAAATATTCCGCATGATTCAGAAAATTCAATTAAAAAATGTTTATGCGTAGCGGCTAAGGAAGAATGATTCGATAATGCCTGCTGGGACAATTTAATCTACGAAATACAGGAGATCGAGTAGACTTTTATTCTGAGATACTGCCATTTGCAAAATCAACACCCTCTCCATATCTTCTGGTTTACAGTACAGTTCTCTCTACTCATATACTCTGCAAATCGAATGATTGTAAGCCTAAATGGGTTGTGGATTGAATATAATGTGATAGATATGCACGCAATTTTATTATTCCCACCAGAGAATGATACATCAATTGCACTAGCGAATGCTATTAACCTAATCGAATGTGCATTAGACGTTCATGTCATTTACCATTGCTACGCACATTCTCAACCCGTTAAATCATTGACATGACACGAATAACACCTCTGATATTAATTCCACATCAATATTTCGCCTTTTCGTCTTCCTGTTTGCCGGCTTTTTCCTTATTAAACAAAAACATTGTAAAAAGGAGAGCCCAAATTTCGATATTCACGTGTGGATCATTTTTGACCCACGCTGATCATCATGAGTGTAACCGTGTTTCAATCCAAGTAATCATGCGCTTCCCCCTCCAAACCCTTGCCTTGGGTATAACTCCACATTTCCAATTACTCGTTGAACTCGTCCGTCTCTAGATAAATGGCAGCAGCTACTAGACCTGCAAAGGTAAACTCCATTGAAGGAGTTTCGTCTTCTTATTATGCCGGTAAAATGGGAAGGTCGGTACGAGGAAAAGACTGGGAGGATGTTTAGACAAGTATTCGAGAGATAAACGACGTGTTGGGCATTTGTAGGATGTCTGTAATTGCTTACGATACTTTATGATGTTTTGGTTGACTTGCTGATTCTCTTGTAGAAATAAAGACAGTCTAACCTTAGGCAAGCATGCGATTGTTTGTCAGGATACGGAATTGAGAGGAGAAATATCTGTCGGTATGTGAACTACGATAAGACGAGCCATATTTCTTGGTGTGTTTACTACAGGTGATACTAATATTATGTGACTACATTACATAACCTTGATTGTAGGTGCAGGTGAGTCACGATTGATGAATTTCGAGCGTTGTAGCATGTTATGACTATATGATGGCTTACAATGAATGTTTACGTTTGTAGGTACGGTGTTAAATCCGCAATGTAAAATATTGGCCGAATCAGGTCCAATACGTATTGGTGTGAATAATATAATCGAGGAGAAGGTCATAATAGTAAACAAGTATGTCAAAAAACTGAATATTATTTAATCGGAATTCCCCCCAGCTTTGATCGTTTCGTATTATAACTCAGATTTTCAATATAATTGACATTAGGTCAACAAAGCCATTGATGATCGGTGACGACAATGTGTTTGAAGTTGGATGCTGTAAGCCACTTTTCGAATACGTTCTCAGATCTTTGTTGTTTGATATCCAATAACTCCTTTAACTCGCATACCTTAATTTTGCAGATATAGAAGGTTCCAAGATCGGAAATAAAAATGTCATAGAAGCCAAAGGTGTGGAATATGCTTATGGTGCATGACGATCTTTTGTGTTAGTGCGTTCTGTCTATTAACTCGTTATTCAGCTAGCGTTCTGGGAAAAACATCTGTGGGGGACAACTGTGTCATTGGGGCTGTTTGTTCTACAAGGACAGATGAGGTCATTCCCGACAACACTGTCATATATGGAAATATGCATAACCGAAGAGTTCAAACTGTTAATACAAATGTAAGTCCAACTGCATTATTATTGTTGCTTGCTTCTTCTTCTTTTTTTCTTGCCGCAAGTATGTTAAAATAAAATCTTGTCCACCACGTAGCAAGCAAATCTACACACACGCCATCTAGAATATCTCCGTGATACGCTTCCGAAATTCAATCATATTCGGGTATGCTTTACATTGGCTAATCTCGTTAGGCCAACTAATGTCTTCATAATCTCACATCCGTCTTCTGTTCTATAGGGCGGTAGTGAGAGCAAGTCGACCAGGAATGAGAAAGAGTCTCGTGACAGATCTCGAAGAGAACATCGGTCTCACGATAAAGATCATCGGGACAAGTCTCACGATAGAGCTCGTGACAAATCTCGCGATGAGGCTCGGGAGGTGGCTCGAGACAAGGATTCCCACGACAAAGAGAAAAGAGACACTCGTGATAAGGAAGCCGCTAAGAAAGTTGGTGTAGCCAGAGAAACGTAGAATGAGATTCGTAGACGAATTTGCTGTTGTTGGGCAAAATAGCTGACATGGCAATGAGAATCTCAAGCAAGCATGGTTAGTGTGTGCATTCTAACTCATTACACTCTCCGGGCATAATTTATATGGCATTATTATACACTTCACTTCCCTTTTCATAAATAAAAGAAAGAAAATTTTCCTACAGCATCACATGAATATGGCACTTTGTATTCATCACATTTGAGGTTTCAGCTTGCGACCCTGAACTGTGTGTGTATCAATTGATCTTTGGTCAGCGCAACAATCCTTCATTTCAATCTCCTCTCTAAGATGGGTTTTGAGTGTTATGGTCGTTTTGTGATGAATAACCTCTGCGATCTGTAGGTTCGCGAATACCATGAACTCTAAATATAACACTTTGCTAGAATGATTACTTAATAATGGCAATCGAATAGTTTAAGCGTAAACAGTTCTGTTATTTACAAGGGGATAAAAAAAGGTTTTACAATGTCAGATAAGCGAAAACAAGTCGATTCGCTAGTCTGCAGGATTAGTTTACTATTACGATGTAAATTGCTAACAAGTATTAATCTGTTGCAAGTTGCTCTGTTGCTAAAAGGACGATTTTCTTGTCAAGAGTTGCTCCGATGTAACGCCCGAGGATGAATTGTTTGGTGAGCCGAACGGGCGTTTTTACATGCCAAACTAGAAAAATAATCAGTTATTACTATATTTTCTTTCCAGAATAAGAAAATGATATCATTATTTC